CTTTTAGTAAACTCTCTTAAATTTATCAAATTTTCTGTCAACCTAAAAGTTACCCGTGGCGATCGATATTGCCAACAGTCCACACCCAAAACGAATTTTGAATAAATTATTTTTTACAATCATTGAATCATATAACATACTATTTACCTTCTGAAACTAATGGTTTAATGGTTGTATATGTCTAATTTCATTCACATTCAATACGTTAGTGAACAAATTGACAGTGCAATAATTCTCAACGGAAATTACTGTTTAATCACTGGTTTCCTATTTAGCAATAAATTCTTTGACGACTAATACAAGGAAACCATAATAAACTAAAAAAAAAGAACAAAAAAAAACATAAAAATCTATTGTTTTAAAAGTGATAATAGAGTATATATCTATCTACACATTAAGTATTATAAATATAAAATTAATACATAATATTTTCACTGAATGTATCATTAAACCCAATTAAAAAGTTAGTCTACACGCTATAACAAGATTAACTTATCATTTTTACGAATAACAATTTAATTGAGTGAATATTGAAGAAGACATATTAAAATCATAAAAATTTAGTTAATTATTAAAAAGTAAATAAAACAAAATGTGAATAATGATTTTTGAGATCGTTACCAAATACAGTTGAAATCATAACAAATATTACGAAATGCTACAAATTTAAAAAATAAATTTATAGCAAAGTAAAATAACATGTTCTATACCAGAGCTTTGCAATAGGTGTTGTAATTTGATAGAGAACTGTTTAAGTAAAAAACATAATATTATGTTTTACAAAACGAATAAGAGGAAATGACGACACCTAATATTATAATATTATGCATATTACATTTTATATGCAAAACAAATTATATAAATAGATGCGGTACTATTTAACCTTTGTTTTAAGTAGTTTTGATAGGTAACTTACGGCTAACTATCCAGTACGGCAATTATTGAAACAGATCTCATACCAACAGGCATTATAATTTTCAATTAAAATACACATTTTCCTATTCAATTGTTCCAAGTACTGAGATTATAAAAATAAATATATCTTCTCATGCATAAAATTGTCCTTGTGCAGAGGGATTACACAATAAATACAAGTAAGAACGCACCTATATGTTATTTTTGCTTTGTTGCAACTCATTTCAGTTACCAATAACTCATGCATTATATGGTATGCGTACGAACATAAAACTGTATCAATGTCAATGTTAAATAATTATATTACGTGTCAAAAAGTGGAATCCGTTTGGTAAACGCGTGTAGGATGATGTTCCGAAGGCGGATTCGCAAAGTAGGATGCAAAATAATAAACGCTCTTAATTCACGTGTCGACCTTGTATCTTGAAAGAAAAAATTGAATTATTTTGTTTTGTACATGAAAGAACGATATTTTTGTTCAGTAACAGTAGTATTCTTAAAAAATACTTGTATAAAACTTTGGAATTTCTCATTGAAAATGCGTCCTCGATAGCTGGTGCATACAGGAACGTCAACGAAGCAGTAATGATGAGCATCCGTGGGACAGTAACGCAGTAATATACACTTACGATATACTCAATATGAAAATCCTTGAAGTTTTCTCATTCAAAAATTTTTCCGAGTCAAAATATATTTAAAATGTATTTCTTGAACACACAATACACTTCGGTTCCAAATAAGGGAACGTTTCAAGGAGATTAATTGATAAAAATCATAGTACAATATTATTATAATGTATTATAATATCTCATAGTCGATCTAAAAAAAAACAAAAATATTTAATTTTATACTCCTCGTACTTTCAAACGTGTTTACTATTATAATTTGAACATCAGTTTTAGACAAAACAAAACCTATTATAATGTTTACTTTTCGTTTTGTTCAGTGAGTCAATACTATTTGGAACAGAACATTTTTCCCCGACTAAATGTTTACCAAATATTATTATACATAAAAAAATATTATTATAATTATTATTATGTCTAATATAAATAAACTTTAGAAATGTAGTATGCAATATATCACGATAAATAATCAATACAACGTTTTGGTGAAAGTGAACCTTCAGGCCTGCGTGTTTTTAATGTTTATAGGGCTCGTGCGTGTTAGTAAATATACTCGTACATAATATCGTTTCAGTTACTAGATCGTTGTGGACACTGGCTCCAAGGACTTTTCTTTGTACAGCCTGCGCAAGCATTATTAGATCCAAAAAGTATATGCACTACTATATGTTAGGCGTTTGTATAACGTTTAAAAGTAGCAGTATTGACCACCTAACCCTTCTTTCATCCCTTAATGTAGTATCTTTTTAATAATGTCTCACAACCGTTCGCTTAACGTTCATTTTACTCCCTCCTCAACTATCCTTAGCCTTTCAATATTTTCCATTTTCAATCCAATCGGCTTCAAAATTAATTCACATTATCTATTTAATTAACCGTCGCAAATAATTATTTTTTTATTATAAAATTTCAATAGAATAAATAAAACTACCTAGTTAAAAGCTGATGGCAAAACATAAGTGCGTATCGACCGTGAAACAATAGAAATGTTGTCCGGTAATTTAATTCATTATTAAAAAATCTTAGTTTATTAACATTCCGAGAATGCTTTAGGTGTGAACTTGTATAAGTAAACAATAAACCGATTGTTATAATATATATTATTATAAACTAACTGTCGAATATAATCTGATTAGAAATCGACTAACATCTATTTGAATCAGAAATCAGAATGAATTACTCTTGTAGTTGAAGTTTTAATCAAGCAGCCATTCTAATTGAAAATTGCATCACTGCCCAGAGCTAACATTGTAAATTGATTAATGTTTGGAATTTCTTTTAATTAGCGTAGGAAATAAAAATATGAATAATTACTAGCTTTTTTAGCTGCGGGTACCACAGCAAAAATGTTAAATTTCAATATAAAAAATTTTTTCTATGATTTATCATAATTTTAAACTAGTCTAACCCATAGAATTCTGAGCGTCACTCACTTTTAGTAACTATTGCCAGACTACCCTCATTAAACGTTGATTACAACATGTTATATAAAACACGGTAAATAAACAGTGTTTCTAAAGATCCTAAGTGATAGACGCCTAATCTAATGTTTTATAAAACTATGGACCGCATTATATATTATTAGATTGGCCTCGGAGCAAACGAACATAACAAGGTCTAGTTATGATGGTTTCACTTAAATATAAAAATCTTTACTTTGATGAAATAAATGAGTGTGTGTGTGAGTGTAATATATGACAAATATTATGCATGCATGGAATCCGAAATTAATTCTCAATAGATTAAACAACTCATAATTGCATAATAATCAAAAGATTTACTTATTAATAAAACCTACCTAAATGGTAATAAAATCTCGCCAGAGTCTACGTAACAGTAGAAGAACGTGTTATCCATTTAAATAGGTGACAAATATTCATTTCAATTATAACTTAAAAATTACGTACTTCATAAATTAGTTGAGCATATAACCATAAAAAATACTGGTTTTTATTATATCATATTATAGAAAAAGCAAAAAAGCAAAAAATATATCCTTCTAATTTTCTAATTTTGTAAATTTTTTCTATGTCAACTTCTGTTTTTAAATACACTTTATTATTACATTTTTATATGCATTTCAAAAAGTAATTTAAAATACTTATATTGTTATTTTATGAATAATTATCACTAATTGCAATTATAGAAATTAAAAAAACCTTTCAATATCAATTATTACGTAAAAAAAAAATGTATTTTATAGTGAAGTTTTTATTCCAATTATTTTTTTAATTTTGTAAAAACTCACAAGTTCTTATTTTACCATATACAAATTTTTAAAAAAAGACCAAGAAAATCCTATAAAGCTTTAATTATAAATTATTACTTAGATTTACCACATAACATAAAATACATTTATAATTACTTAAATTTTGTAGTTATTTTACGCTATCAAGCTCATATATTTACAAAATAAGATCCATAACCATTGAACAAATATCTTAAACTCGAACTTGCTATTTAAATATATTTCAAATACCTATAAAAATGAATAACAAGAATTAACTTCGATGAAATGTTCAACTTGTTAGTTGTTTCCCTTTGAAAAATATATAAAGTATATGTAAACTACTTCGTTAACTAATCAGCATTTATCTTTGATATTCATGTGACTAAATAATATACTTAAAGAAAAATTGTTAAAGAAATTAATTCCTATAAGATCATAACTAAAGAGCGAATATAATTGATATTGCAACTTTTTATTAATACCCAGTAAATCAAATCTGATCAAATATGTATACAGATCAGATTAATTACAGTCTTCCTACTTAATTTAATAATGCAATTTTTTATAATTATTGCCTAGGTATACCTAGCACCCCACATGCGTAAACCTTTGTATACATAACTAACTTCAAATATCTTATTGTGTACAGAATATCACAGAAACCTTTTGTATAAATAGATTAAATATGATTTAAACAAAATCGTGAATGTATTAACCACATACTAATCGCACTATTAACCATCTTAAGTACCGAATCTTATCAATGAACTACAACTATCCATACATTTAATAACACAATTCGCAATCTAGCTCCAATTGATTAGTAGAAACATAAATGTATTCACACTTGACAGATCTTTGTACGTTATAATAAATACATATAATTTACTGTTGTATAAAAAATCTGTACACCCATTCTTCACTCGTAATTTTCTCTACTTTGATCAAGTCGAAGACGCTTATTCTCAGTGTTGGTGCTATGATTTGCGAGGCCCCGGATATGAATATACTACGCAAAGCCCAAGAGCAGATCCAAAAGTGCGAGACCCTATGCGATTGCACTTTCTGCACACTCCTCGCACCGGCACTGCTTGTGCTGATGGATTTGATAATTATAATAACCGTACATAACAGTTATAATAACAACAATAATAAAAATAATAATAATAATTATTATAAATGAAAATGATTTCCACCGATCGAAGGACCACAATAAAGCTTCAACTTACGATTGGGACGACGTACAATCCGAAATCCATTCCGACGACGACTGGTATGTATTTGCTTTACAACAATAATATAATTAACGATAAAAAAATGATTCTAGAACGACGAAGACGATGATTGTTAAACGCTACACGCCACTGGTCGGCAGTGGTGGCGGCGGCGGCGGCGTCAACAAACACTTGGCGCGATACGTTAACGGCACATCGGCGACACGGGAGAGTTGTACGCGACGCGACCGACTTGAATGTTATTATGTCCAGATATGCGCGCGCGCGTGTAAGTGTACGACGGTGTGTGCCATTTCGGTCCGACAGCAGCGGTCGTCGCGTGCCCACTCGCGGTATCTGCCCACACGAGGGCACACCCGGTTCGCGAATGTCCGACACGGTAAATCTATAAAAATCGTTTTTGTTTTTCCGCCGTTTCTTTTTATTATTACAACTATTGTCTGGAAGCTGTTGTTGTATAACGCCCGACAACGTCGCCGCCGCCGATATCTTTTCGACCTCTACGTACAACCGTATAAAATACAACAGCGCGGTTGCACGTGGTACACAGCTATTTATACCGCTTTACCGGTCGGTGCGCGCAACAGTATATATCATAATGCGTAATGGTTGTAAGATAAAATGTTCGCATAGGCACGCGCAGCTGTAGCGAATGAAGTGGTACGAACCGAGAGCGAGACAGAAAGACGTGCCGAGGAGATAAAACGCCAACGCTGACGACGACGACGACGACGACGGCAGTGGTCCGCGCGACTTGACCCGGGGCAACACGTTTATTTCGTGTAGCGCGCGCGCGCGAGGCCGACGAGAATCCGATGAAACGGATATGACCGGCGGCAGCGGCGGCTTCACGAGAAAACGATACCGTGGAACGGATGACGTAACGACCGCGTGTTACATATTATGCAGCCGGCGACCGCTGGGCCGAGACTTGCACGCGGCCACTCGTTGTTTTTGATTGATTCGGAGTGATCGGTGGTCAGGTGGTAGTAGTAGTAGTAGTAGTAATAGTAGTAGTAGAATATAATATAGGTTGTGACGGAGGTAGATAGAGTGGCTGCAGTAGTGTAATATAGTGATATACCGCCGGAGAAAGGGAGATCGGAGAAAGAGAGAGAGAGAGAGAGGAGAAAAGCGCGACAGAGCGAAAGATCGAAGCGGGGGCGGGGGAATAAAATGATGATGAGAGGAATAGTGAAAAAATTAATACAGGGAGAGAAAGAGAAACAGAGAGGGACATAGAGAGTGAGTGAGATTGAAACAAATAGATAGTGGGAGAGCGCGGGAAAAATGTACACGCGCGTTTGCATACACTACACGAGTATACGTCTGAAACTGCGGCGCTGTTGACGGGGAGACTGTTACGCAACGCGCATTCCGCTGCAGACCGGGTACGTAGAGCGCCACACCGACGAAATGTTAGCCGGGTAGAAAAATCCGCATGTCGTTTGTTGTACGCGTGAGTTTATCCTGGCAAAATGAAAAAAAATCACACAATACGCGTCGTCGCCACAAACCGTACATTGAACACTATATCGTTCAACGTCAGGTTTCCCCCATCCTCAACGGACCGTGAATTTATGTTTACAAATACGTTTTCCAAAGATATACGTACATGATCATACTTTGTGTACGTTATGTACAGGGTGGTATTGTTTTAACGTTTATCGTTGTCTCTATCAAATTGTACACTTCAAAATTGACTGGTAATAATCTTACGAAAAAATTATGTTTTTCCTCGTAATTATTTTAAAGATTTTTACATTTTTTTACTAATTTCTTACGTGTAAAAATTCGATATACTACTGAAATTTGGGATAATTTTAAATCAAAGGAACCGTCTAAAAAAGTGATCGAGTTGAAAAGTAGTAAATATTTCTTACAATATAAATTATCCGTAACAATTTAAAATTCATATATATATATATATAGGTCGAGCATTTAACGTGAAAAAAATCACCCTGTACATAGTAACGTACGGTCACGCCAATGATTGTCCCAGGTGAGTATAAATACCGTGGTACAGCTGTGTGGGTACGAGATGAAGTCAACGACACGAATGATATTAAAAAAAATGCAAACACGCTTGGCGTAAATAACATTATTTATTCATAACGGCCTTATGAATGTTATTACTATACATCTTATTGGTGAAACGATAATGGATACGTGAATATTTATATTACTGTTTCGCGATTTACCGTTCTCCGTACGTACACGTCAAAGTTTAACTTTACCGCGCTTTAAAATACGTGCGATATAATATGTGTATTTTAAAATGTTACTTTAACTCCGGAACAGGCATTCAACTAAATGGTTGTTAAATTGCATGTTAATGAAATTGTTTGACCAACAGTTTATAGTTTATTTACAGTTTAACAGAGTGTTTGATTTAACTCTATTTATAATATGCCTATGTGGTATAATACATAATACATGTATATGTATTGTATATTTCACTTCACATTTTGCTCGTGAAAACACCGATCGTTCGTCATTGTCATAATACATGTTTTGGTGTCAGTAATAATATCGTCCGGATCAACGCACACACAGTGAAGTGTAATATATTATACGCCATTTCATCGAGCACGTGGCGAAAAATGGAAAACATGAATGGAACGGTACGACTATGTTGTTATACCGCAAACATTAATCTTATTAGTCAAAACATAAAAGTATTTTTTTTTTTGTACAATGAATACTAAAATATTACGTAATTCATATTATATTGTATTTCCATCCGAACTGTTACAAAACGACCGGAGTACAGGTATACGCATACGAGATATTATAATAATGTATATACGGTTGACGATTTTTTTGATTTTTTTTTTTCGTGTTCTTATAGATGTGGCCGTGTTATCGCACGTATATTGTGTTATAATAATTATTGTGACATTTATAATATCGGTTTAAAGACGTGTTCCATGGCTCTTTGGCATATTGGTAACCTTTATTATAATTGTGACACATAGCACGTGTATAATTTCGTTTCTTTAGCAACATCTCGAATCACTCGAATCGAAGATTTATTGTTCTCGCGATTCCGTATTCCACTGGGTACCCCGGCAGTGTCGTTATAATAGTTTGCCACCAACCTGTATCGATTTCACACCGTAGTCTACCAACGATGGACGATAGTAAAAAATACTAATGATAAAATACACAGTAAAAAACTATCCTGCGTTGTCTCTTGTTATGTCCTCCAAATAACCATTGGTCCTTTTAATATTTGTCAATATTTCATCACAGTAAAAATTTTTATATAGTTTTCCAGCGCAGCGTTAATTTTCCAATAGTACAAGAACCAATTAATAAATATAAGTGATTCACTGTATTTTATTTTCGATAGACTCGGAACATCGTGTACATCAAATAAGCTGATTAAATTCGAAATCACTGCCGAGTGCTGACAAATTATACTCAAGTTATGAATAATGTACCTATACAAACGTATTTATTATGCACTAAAAAATTCCAAATTATATGCTACTAGTATAATTTATTCATACCTCAAAAATGGACTGACCATTGACTGTATGATTAACTATACTTATTAGTATAAGTAATTTAATACCCACGTGGATGAAGTATTGACTCTTAACCCGTTACAATAACTATTTTATTCACGCCTAGAAGTATCAATATACGAACGTTCTTTTGTACACCAAGGTAATTTATTTTTAAGGTATATTTATTCGTTAATAATAAATAATAAATAGTTTAATATAATTATGACGTATAATATATGTAATTATTTAACGCATCAATAACATTACGTCTTATAACATTATATACCTACGTCGTATTAAATTCCAATAAGATCAGATTACGGAAATCAAATGCTGCTTACTGTTATCTAAATTGGAAAGTACCTATTTTCTTATTAAGTAGATTTTAGAAGCAAATAATTTATGGATTTTACAATATCCTGTTTTTTTTTTTTTTTTAACAAAACTTTTTTCGCTATACTCATTGTTACTCAATTATTATCAAAATTTTTTTCTCGATTATTTTTAAGAAATATAATATAAAAATTAAAATTAAAAGGAATTTTTCTTTCAAAAAATTAATTTATATTATTTATACTACATACTGGTTTTATACCAGTGGTAAAATAATAAATCAAGATTCAGAAATGTTTGGAAGATGTTTTTCGGTATTTAAACACTATAAAAACAGACATTTTAACATTTAAGTCGAAATAAATAAAGTTACTTGGTGCGGAGAAATGAAAATAAAATAACGTAGTAATTGATAACCTATAATATTAAATTACAATTAATCGAATACTAGAAATAAATGAAAAGCACTATACACTCTAAGTGGAAAGTATGTTTTCATAATATTATTTATTACATACACCAAGTGTAATAAGAAAGTCTACTATAAACATCTTCCGGTAAATCTATTATAGATTCAGAGTTAAGCTAGGAAGTTATTTTCTTGATCGCAGTTAAATCGAATTATACCATATCGAGAAAACCTACCCAGCTTTCGATTTTTTTAAAATTTATTGTATTACGAGTATTATAGCACAACAAATATATAACAGTACATCAAACATAAAAACATTTTGTTGTAATGTATTCCATTCAGTAGTATGTGTTTGTATGTTCTGAGTACATTCTTACCTGTAGCATGGGTCGATTCAGGGGAGGCACTGGAGATAAGTTCTACCCCCGTTGAAAAAAAATAAATTATGTTTAGAAGTACTAAATAATATACTACAAAATAAATGCTAACAGTTTTAGAACAATAATTTCACATTATTATAATAGAAATACTTAAATATTATTTTTTATTTTATATTAGTATAAATTGTTTGAAATTCTTAATCGATATTAGAATCTATTATATTGTAATACTGATTTGTTTTAACATTTTCATATAATATTATTATTTATTATTTCTTATAGTAGTTGCTAGTTTATTTTATATTTTTGGTTATTATTTTATTATAACTATCCAGTAGATTTTACAATCAAAAAAAAACAGTCTTTTAAAATTTAAATCATTGAAAAATATTGATATAATCACCTTTAAATCTATAAAAAATCTTGTGTAAAGTAGAAACCGATCCATTCGATAATGGTCTACAATCATACTCGATACACCAATTATTTCCTCTTGAAAAGTATGGTGCTGAAACAGTTTAGTCACCAACAAATTTAATTTATTTTTAACTTAATACTTATATAATTAATACAATAAATATAAATTTAATTGTTAAAGTAGATAACCCTTTTCATAACTTAAATGAAAAAATAAGGTTAAAATAAAAAATAAGTATAAAATTTACTCATAAAAAACAAATTAATTTTAAAATAGTAATTTAGTTAAAAGCCTGATAATAATATTTTCGATTATATAGAATCAAATTATATTGAAGATTCGAAAATTAACAAAATTGAATATCATTCAAATTCCATGTACAAACTCATTTAAACCCAATAAACAAATATCAAGGTTTTCACAAATCAATATGTTTCCATTTATCCATATGAAAATTTCCTTTTTTATCGAGAATAAAACTAAAGCTACAACTAAA